ATGCCCAGGGATGGCAAGTTTGCAGGATAACTTCCTAGGCAAACCATCAGCCAGGAAGAGCACTGTCAAAGGGAGAAGAGTCGTCTCAATAAGACTAATTACACTTCCCAAGACCAGAAAGTAGAGTAAGGGCCCGAATTTCTGTATTAATCTCTGGCGTCTCAAATGATAATCTCTTGCCTTTCCTAGAACCTAACTACACTAGACAGTAAGAAAAGTGATAGCTACCAATTAATCCTATTTTTGTCAATGGCTTTGCACTCATCTTCTCCAAGGCAAGTATATGTTATCCTTGTTCTACGAACGAGAAAGTGAAGGGTCTGCACCCTCCCTTCCCTGCCTGCTCTGACCCTTCAGGGGTCGAATATTGCAGGGAGCCCACACCACTCCTATGGCTTCCCACAGCCACGTCAATCAGCAGCCTCTGGCATCAGGAAGGACTCAGCTAGAGTCCTAATGCTGAGCCTCGGCACCAAACAGGGACAAAAAAGCCCTTAAAAGTAAAGGCCTGGGGTGAGAGGCAAGAGGAAGACAGGACTTAAGTGGGATAACCTTTGCTTCGGGAAGTTTGGGTCCTAGGACCGCCTGCCTTCAGGGTCACGAGGTCAACGTAGAAGGGGCTGGGTTTGGGGTGCTGGAGGAAGAGGCCACTGGAGGGGTGAGGGCCCACAACACCTCCGGTGACTCTCCAGACTCACGGACGCGGACCGCCAGAGCTGAGGGAGAGGGAGTTGGGCTGTTTTGGCAGGGTCCGCGCAGAAAGAACTTGAGCTCCAGGCAAAAGCGTCCCAGGGAACCTTCCCAGGGAGCCGCATGGGGGGCTGGCCTCGATCAGGGCCGCAGGGGAGCCTTGCCCGCCTCAGCTTCCCTCTGCCGGTGCACGGGTTCCTGTCTCTGGGCGCGGTGCACTCCCCAGGGCAGGGCAGGGCAGGGCAGGGCAGGAGGGTGGGAGGCCGGCGCGCTCACCGCCCTGGGCTGCACTCACCACCCAGCCCCGAAGCCCAAAGAGGGAGGCAAATGATAGTTAGACAGCCGAAATCTTTACTAATAGCGCACACTTCATTCTTTACATGCAAGCAGATGGGTAATGAAATGAATGACTTCTTGGAGCTTTTAAATCACCTGACACTTCTTTGCAAAGTAGAGCAAGCGTCTCAAGTCCAAAAGCTCCAAAGCAGAAAACATCTCTGAGTCCTGAAAGGAAAGGACGTTCTATTTGCTTCTGTAGAGAAACGAAGTACACTGTTCAAGGAACCAAAAAACATCTCACCAAAAATATAAAATAAAATCCATCTAATGACCTGCATACAGAAAGAGAGCTCTCTGTCCTGGGAAATCTTGGCCTTGTTTTAGTAATCCACCCTCCCAAAGAGAAATCTCGTAGTCAAAATAAGAAAGTCAAGTCTATTATTTCCTAAAGGCCACAGAAAGCAAAACAAAAACTGAAAATAAGAATTGTAAAACTGGGCAACATCGCGAGAAGGGAGAGACATTACAAGTCTCCGTGGGTGATATCAGAGGTCATATTTCCAGCAAAAAATTTAATAGAAAATAACTATGAAAGACGCCAAACCAATTTTCTGGTTTGGACAATTTCTCAATCTTTGGAAAGTTCCTTCCACAGCTGCTTACTCTAGAACTCCGGGGGCTGTGTCCCTTTGAACTTTATCCACATTTTCCACAGTAAAAGTCAAGTTTCTTCCCCTTCTCCTGTCCCCTTCCCCTGCTCCTGTCATAGAAGAGGTCCCAAAGGAAATCCATCCAGCCATCTTTCAACTTTAGTAAAAAAAAAAAAAAAAAAAAAAAAAAGGAAAGAAAAGAAATAAATCAACCCCCATTCCCAACCTCACTACCAGAGTCGTGAAAAGCAGCCTTTGCACTTTGAAAGAAAAGGCAGAATAAAAATAAAAGTGAGATGCAAATGATTTTAAGGCAATCATGGGGAGTGGGGGGAGTACTGGAGAATGTTAACTCTGGTCCTTGCTAACTAAGGCTCATGGCAAGCTCTTTTCATAAAGCCAAATATGAGGACCTGTTTTGAAAATTTTCCAAGAGTAAGAAATAAAGGGTGGTGGGGATATAAAAAGCTCTTTGAATTACAATAAATAAATAAATAAATAAGCAGTGCCAACTAGCAGGTGACAAACCACAGTCAAACTTCAATCTCAGAGCAGTTAGCTATAAACTGTTAGCAGTTGAAAAGTAAACCTTGTGCACACAAAGGCACTGTTTAATTTTCTTCTTGTAATGGTTCTAAATGAAGACCCCATCACTATGCAGTTAAGCAGTATTTCTTGTCCCCCTGAGGCGCTGATCAGTTCTTTTTAATGTGAGAAAACTGGCAGCTCAAAAGCCGTCAATGGAGCTCCCACAACAAAAGTTCTGAAAAGCTGAATGAATTGGGTTTGTAACTACAGCATCCCGTCCCCCACCCCTTGCAGCTTATCTCTTATTCATTCACCTTATATTATTGTTAAGGAATCTTACTCTCAAAATCATTCCTTTGCCATTTAACCTAGGGCCATGGAGGAACTTACGACACACAGAAACGAAACAGTTGCCCGCCTTCCCTTGCAACTGCATCTGAAAGTGTTCAGACCAATAGGTGGGAAGGAGGGGTGGACGGACTATCTGGTACCCCAATTTGCTGAGGTTACTAGAACCCAGAGTACTCAGCCTCCCATTTTAAAACCCAAATTTTATTGACAAACAGGAATGTGTTCCCCTTCTAAATTCCAGCCCTGCCTGAGTCTCTGAAACTTTGTGACATGTCCACTTAGAAAAGGCAAATGTTATAAATAAATTCCCTCCCTTCATTCCCCCAAGTGAAAGGCCATACAAGACCTTGTCAGACATGTAGAAATTGAGATAACCTATGTTCTTGATTTTTTTTCTTTTAAACCAAAAAACAGTAAATGAAATAGCAAAAGAAACTATACCCCTGCCCAAGAAAAGGTTTTATGAGAAAGTCAGCTTTAGAATACCAGGGCTCTGCATGTATTTCAATCCAAGGCATTGCTGATGGAGAAGATTCTCCTGAGATTTCCTACTGTAAGAATGTGTTGGTTCTAGAAATAAGTACAGCTATTACAACCAAATCTACTAGCAGACTAAATAATTAATTGAAGCGTTGCTCTTTGACCCTTGAAAAGTCCAGTAGGGACACGTTTATAGTAATAATACCTCCGAATGAGCCCTTGTCAAATATTCATTTAGTGGTTAATGTGAGCCATTTCCCCCTGGGACCGTCTGTAATACCAGCTTCCCAGCACTGGCAAGAAACCTTGCTAATCTACTACAGCTCAGCAAAATATTTTAACGCTCTTTATTTAAAGCAAGGAGGGGGATGGGGTAGAGAAAAAATTGCAGAGGGAACAAACTATAATCTCATCCTTCTACACATTTCTATTCAGTGTGTAGGCTAACAAAACATTAAATTCACTCCTTTAGACTAGAAATTAAATGGTTTTAGTGAGCAGAATAATATCCTAAGGAAGGAACTGAACACTCAACAACTAATTTCGGCACTGGGAAATAACCATCTCTGGGCAAGTTTAAGGGTTTAACTCCTTCTTGGAAATCATGTTATAATTAAAATGTTATATGTTCAGCATTAATCTAGCCATAAAACTACACATCTTGGGGGTAATTAACCAAATCAAATGAACAGTGAAACAGATATCATTTTTCTTAAGTGCAGTTTATCAAAATAATTTATATTTACAAATAAAATATTTTAGCTTTCATTTGGTTAGGAGGTATGGAGGGGTAGGAGGGGGAATGGGAGTTCTCTTGTTTTATGAACAAGATGATCATTGACAATCATTCAAAACTTCCCCAACTATAGTTTAACTTTCCCAACTATCGCTCTCTTCCCTCTTGCAAAATATTTGAATCTGAGCATTTGGCCAAAAAATTGCTTTTTAAAGTCTGATTCTGTGGGCTCTTTAAATTTTATTTTTAAGGGAGGTTAGTGCAGTGCAATTACTCTAAATCCCAATACATATTTCTAATATCTCTATTTTTCAAATATATATACACTTCATATAGTTGATTGGCTCCAATTCTGGGAACATCCTCCCAACCCCCCCAGCAAGATCATTTGGATCTTTATTCAAAGTTTCTTTTATTCGTCTGTGAGCAAGAACTGTCGAAAGTGCTCATTACCACGTGAATAATCTGTATATGCATTACAATGGCTGGCCAGGCTGGGGGAAATTCTTTCAGAGGCTCTGCATTAATTAGGGGGGGGGGGGCGAGTGCCTGGCTTAGAATTGGGAACTGGCATAATAATTTTCCTTTCCCAGTAAAATATTACCCTAAAAATGAGGATACGACAGGAATAAATAAAAACCAATATACACTGAAAATAAAGCAATCCACATGTGCTCAAAATACAGAAAATACGAGGATATCCCAGCTGAACCCAGAACTAACATCAGCAACACCACGAGTAAGAAATACTCTCTGGGAAAACGAGAAGATGCAAGCCAACTGGAGGAGCTAACTTAGTGGCTGCAGCCGGTACTTTACTCAAGGCTGGAAGGCGCTGCCGAATTTCAACTTCTCCAAAGTTGTAACAAGTTGACACAACAAGCCCTTGAAATTGTGGGAAGCAAATCCACGCTCTTAAGAAAGCCTGGCTCTTGGTTCTTGGTCCCCTTCGGTGGGGGAAGATGAGCGAAGTAAGTAGTAAATAAGGAAAAGTCCCCTGAGTCGGTCTTACAGGATTCTCCGGCTGCGCCAAAGCGCGAGTCGGTTGTGATGCAGAAACATTGCTAATGCAAAGACCAGGGCGATTCCCCAACTTTTCCGCTCCCACTGAGGGCAACTATAGTCTTTCTTTACCTTTCCTAGGGCAAAAGAAAACAACAAATCCAATCTTGTTTCCCCACCCCCCTTCCCCTCCCCCTCCCCACTACTGTAGTAAAACACGGTTAACAGATCAAAAGCATAATAATCTACAAATGTGATTAGACCGGACAAAGTAAAATATCTACCTCAGAGATGTTCTCTTCTTTAATATGGCTGTTGCCCGGCTTCTTTTTTGCTTGTTATCAGCTGCAGAGATTATCCGATTTGGGGCTACAGGCTTGGACCCGCGCTGCCAATTTAAGAAATGGAATTCGTGGAGGGAGAGAGAGGAAAAAAGAAAATAAATAATAATAATAATAATGATAATAATAGCCATGATAAATCGGGGGAGTGTTGCCAGACGCTCTTTGCTTTCCCTCGCCCCTAAACAGGAAAATTAGAGGAGAAAGTTTATAAAGTCAAGGAACAAAGAAAGCAAACCACTTGTTTCCTCTCAGACAATAGCAGGGCTGGAGTAATCCAAACACCCACCCAGCAGATGAGCGCTTTGCATGTCTAGTTTGCAATTATTCCGATACAAGAAGCATCATTTCCCCCTATAACCAGGTTTCCAAAGGGCCATTGTACTGTGAAGAAAACGAAAACAAAACCAGCCAACCTCGTTCTGATTTGGCTCAATACCCCATCTGCTAAGCTACATGAAAATTTTCAGAATTGACTCCTTTCTGGCAACAAGTGGCATAAATCAGTTTAAGTATAAGTCCCCATCATGCTTATTCATGCTGCTTAGGAAAGGAGGGGGTGTACTCACAATATATGTCTCTAGTTTCTATTTTAGAAATGACATAGCATTTCAAATCTTTTGAGTACTTAATTAATCATCCAGCCACTTATTTGTTGCTGTTAACATTAGCACATGCTACTGGAATAGAATACCAAGGTTTTAGGTATTTTGCTTTCTTGGATGAGCACAGCATATTCCCCGAGGAGTTAGGTATAATCAGTGTTATCCAAATAAATGAAAGACTCAAGAATAATTTCAGTGTCCATATTTCAAAAATTTATTTATCTCAAACTGTGCATAATGGAGTAAAAACTTAAGTTGAAAATGTACCTGTTATGAGGATGGTATTAGTTCAAATATATACATGGATTCTCGGCAGACTGATTCAAATAATACAGAGCCGAATCTTTAAAATACAACTACTGAAAATAAAGGAGGGGGAACCTTAAAATATCACAATAAATTTACAGAAATATTACAAACCATAAGAAAATATTTCAAACACAGTAATTTCATGTTTTTTTTTATCTGAACAAAATGGAAAGTTGGGAAACAAAAGCTATTATAAATTACCAATGATGTCAACCTGCATGGCCATTTTTGCTTTTAACAGTAAGTTAAAAAAAATTTAGTACAATCTAAAACTTTTGCTCCTTTAAAGACCACGGAGATAGTTTTTTACCAGTACGTATCCTAGTTTTTTCCTTTTGTACAATTTTTAAACAATTAAAATGTCCAAATCTTAATAATTTTCTTCTTTCCACGTTTGCAACTGTCCTAAATTTCAGCTGCAGAATCAAAATTCAGCAAGAAGCCTTTCCTTGAAAAATATTGGCAAATTCTCAGCTTATAAACAATGGACATTTTGATTGCCATGTTTATCTCGATAAATACTATACAAAAGTTGGTTGCAAATATTAAAACATTTTTTTCGTCGCTTGGAGACTAGCTCTAATATTATTGGTAAAGACTTTTGCAAACTTTCTGCAAAGCTCCTACCGTATCACTAGAACTTTTAAAAAGTTTTGCGTGTTTTTCTTTCCTCCAGATCTATACAAGGTCCATTCCCTCGCCCTCCCCACCCCACCACCCCGGTTTTCTCTGTACAAAAATAGTCCCCCCAAAAGAAGTCCAGGATCTCTCATAAAAGTTTTGTTGTCGGTATCGCGGTTTGTTTGGTTGTTGTTGTTGGTTTGTTTTTTTTTTTTTGCCTTTCTTTTTTTTTTTTTTTTTTGAGTGTAGATGGGATTGGTGTTCTCTTTTGTAGACAGATGTCATTTGCTGTGGGCGAGTACTTGTTTGAGCGTACCGGGTTTTCCTCCACGCTATTTCTTACTCTCCTCCCATTTCCCTCTTTTTTTTTTCCTTTGAAAATTCCCCCCTCTAGTTCACTGTCCGGCCCTCACATGTGCGAGAGGGGCAGTGTGCCGTTAATGGCCGTGCCGGGCACCGGGCCGCTCTGGTAGTGTTGGGACATGTGAAGTCTGCTGGGCGCGGCTGGCTCCGGCACCTCGGCGCCGGGGAGATACATGCTGATCATGTCCCGGAGGTCCCCGGCCTGGCAGGGCGCCCTGGAGTGAGAGGAAGAGGTAACCACGGGTGGGCTGGAACTGGCCTCGGACTTGACCACGGAGCCCATGGAGCCAAGCGCCATGCCAGGGGTGCCCTGCTGCGAGTAGGACATGCTGTAGGTGGGCGAGCCGTTCATGTAGGTCTGCGAGCTGGTCATGGAGTTGTACTGCAGGGCGCTCACGTCGTAGCGGTGCATGGGCTGCATCTGCGCGGCGCCGTGCGCGTTGAGGCCCGGGTGCTGCGGATAGCCCAGCTGGTCCTGCATCATGCTGTAGCTGCCGTTGCTCCAGCCGTTCATGTGCGCGTAGCTGTCCATGCGCTGGTTCACGCCCGCGCCCAGGCCGGCGCCCACCCCGACCCCGCTCGCCATGCTGTTGCCGCCCGGGGCCAGCAGCCCGCCGGGCAGCGTGTACTTATCCTTCTTCATGAGCGTCTTGGTTTTCCGCCGGGGCCGGTATTTATAATCCGGGTGCTCCTTCATGTGCAGCGCTCGCAGCCGCTTGGCCTCGTCAATGAACGGCCGCTTCTCCGTCTCCGACAAAAGTTTCCACTCGGCGCCCAGGCGCTTGCTGATCTCCGAGTTGTGCATCTTGGGGTTCTCCTGGGCCATCTTGCGCCGCTGCCCGCGGGACCACACCATGAAGGCGTTCATGGGCCGCTTGACGCGGTCCGGGCTGTTCTTCTGGTTGCCGCCCGCCGCCGCCGCCGCGGTGGAGTTGCCGCCGCCGCCGCCGCCCCCCGAAGTTTGCTGCGGGCCCGGCGGCTTCAGCTCCGTCTCCATCATGTTGTACATGCGGGCGCTGTGCGCGGGCCCGGCCCGCCGGCGGCCGCCGACCCTCGGCCCGGCCGGGACTTTGGGGGGCCCGCGGGCGGGGGGAGAGGAGGAGGGGAGGCGGGCGGGGGTGTCGGGAGCGCAGGCTCCGCGAGGAAAATCAGACGAAGAATAATTTGGGGGAAGAAAAGAGAGGCAAACTGGAATCAGGATCAAAAAAAGCTCTTCCCTCCTCTTCTGGCCGATCCTGCCGCCGCCGATGATTGTTATTATTATTTTTTGGAAAGGCTTAAGCCTGGGGCTCAAACTTCTCTCCCTTTCTTTCTCTCTCCTCTTCTTTCTCTCAGCCCTAGTCTTAAAGAGGCAGCAAACTACTTTCCCTCTTTTGCAAACACTCTTCTCTGCCTTGACAACTCCTGATACTTTTTTGAACAAGTTAATAGACAACCATCCATGTGATGGGGGCTGTCAGGGAATAAATGGGTTTCCAGCGACCAATCAGCGTTCGGCGGCTCCTCCACTCGAGCCCAGCCTCGCCGCCGGGTTTTGCATGAAACGGGGCGGGGCCAGCCGCGCGCGGGCCGCGCGGGGGAGGCCGGGGGCCGAGGGGCCGGGAGGGAGGGGGAGGCGGCTCCCACAGCCCGCCCGCCCGTCCGCCCGCCCGCCCGCCCGCCAGCCACTGAGAAACCTTTGTATCCCCTCTCGCAGCAACAGGTCACACCACACGCCTTTTCGAAGGAAGTGGGTAAACAGCACTAAGTCTGCGATTTTTTCTTTAAACTTAATAGTGATTTACTTTTCGGTGCGGGCTGCCGAAACGAGGAAGGGGCGCTGAAGCCGTTCAGGTGTGGGGGGTGGGGTAGGGCGGGGGGGTGGTTCGGGGCGACTGTCCTGCCAGGGTTCCAGGAAACAGGCAGGGCCGGAGTTGCTGGTATTGTTCTGCTCCTCCGCACCCTGGCCCCCGCTCCGGCCTCTCCAGGGCTTCTCCCTCGCCTCGCTCTCCCCCCTCGCCTCTCTTCCTCCACAGTGCCCGCACTTGCCCCCCCCTCCCCCGACAGGAAGTTGAAAAGCCTGTCCTTAAAACCCTCCGAGCTTTCACGCAATTTGCTCTGTCTTAAAAATTAACCCGGCCCGGACTCTGACGCCGAGTCCGGGGCTGAGGCTCAGGCAGGCCCTGGGGAAGCTGCCGCGAGGCGCTCCCCGGCTCCCGCTCGGCGCTGCCCAGCGAACCGCAGCTCGCCCGCTCCCCCCCAGCCGCGGCTCCCCCCAGCCTCTCTCCATTCAGCCGGTGCCACGGGGGATGCTCGTCCTGCCTCCCCCTGCTCCTGCTGGGCCTCCCCCAAAGGAGGATTTTAGCTGGGTCGGTTTCAAAAGGAGGCTGCAGGGGGATGAAAGGGCTCCACCGAAGGACGCTCAGAAGTGCAGGATATTGGGGGAGCGATAGCTCAACTTCCTGCCGTGCTCCGGCCCTGCACGGGGGTGGCCCGGGGCCGCCCTCCCACGCAGAGTTCCCAGGACTCGGGCCGAACGCGCGCTGGCGCTCCCCTCGGGGACTCCGTTGCCCAGAGTCGGGGGGCTGCGCTAGGAGGGGGCTCGAGGCCTGAGCGGCTGAGCGGTGCTCTCCAGGCGCAGGTGCAGGCGGTGGGGGCAGGAAGAAGGCGGCCGGGACCGGGACCGGGGGGAGTCCAGCGAGGCCAGGGCTGGAGCAGGACGGGATGGGGGCGGGGGCGGGGGCTCGGAAACCCTGCCCGCCCAGGGCCCAAGAGGGTAACTTTAGCCGCTCTCCCATTGTCCGGACGTAAAGATTTCAATAGGTAGGCGCTCAATGCGGAGAGCAATGGCAGCACGTCCGTTACAAATAGGTAGTTTTGTTTCTCTTGTTGTCGCTACACGGAGTCAAACAAAGCCCAGTCTAAGTTTCCTTCCACTCTCTTGTTGGGATCTTTGTGGCTAAAATGCACTTGACTACAAAGGGGGGTGGGGGAGGGGGGGGGAAAACCCTTGATGCCATTTCTTTTTTTTATAAAGGACTTAAACCATCAGGGTTACTTATTTTCTTTCTTCTGTAACACTCTCTCCTCCCCCTCCTCCCCGATCCACCCTGACTCACCCTAAGAAAACGTACGGAACAGTATCTGTCGGCCACGTTCCATGTATTATCTTTACAAAACTTTGCCTTGTTTTCTCCCTTACTAACCTCCCCATAACCGTCGTCATCCCCACTCAGGCTTCTCCAGTCCCTGCCCTCCCAGGCTTTTCTGTTCTTGTCAAACTCAAGATAAGTATGCTTTGCTGGGAACTCAGAAAAGTTGAGAAAAAGAATCCTGCAGCAGACTTTTCTCAATAAATTATTTCCAATCAACCCCGCCCCCCGCGGGTTTTCCTTTTCCTCTTAAGTTACGGTTTGTTTTAGTTCTTGGGAACCCGGGAAGGAAGAGACTGGCCTTCTCGAAACGCATAAATATATCACTCTTCAAAATAAAGCAATGTCTTCTGCTTATTCAAGGTGTAATATTAAGCTAATCACGGACAGGAAGAGTAGGAAAGAGAAAGGGTTGCATGGATTTGGAGAAGAGAAGGCGGCCACTGGGCTTTTCAGTGCGACTTGGTTTCAGGGATGTGGCTGGTGCGCCCCCTACTGGTGGATTCTGGTTTCCAAGACTGGCTTTTACCTTTAAAAGAAGGTGTTTGGAAATAAAGAAAAAAACATGAGGGGGATGGGAGGAAGATCAAATTAATTACACGCAATCTAAACAAAAGGGAAGTTAACATATCATATAAGCGATGGAACCAAATCATAAGAATCAGATTTAATTTGCTTAACTTAGAAATGTACATATATAACCTCGAGATAAGTGGGAGGTTAAACCATGGGAAAAAAAGAGGTACAAATTATGAGATTCAACATATGAATGAATTATGATTGTCCAGACGCCACGAAGGGCAGACTAAGCATTCATTTTATGATAGTGTATGCACTGGCCTGTGCTTAGCAGCATTATTCCAAAAGCCAGGGGAAAATGAAAACTTATGGATAATTAAGTTTGAAGACAAAACCAAGGGCTTGGTGTGGATAATGGTGGTGTATATGTATTAAAATAAATATTAAAAGGGAGGGTTATAGAAGCAAACGTTTTTAAAATCTCTTCCTCTCTCTCAAGGGGAAGTAGTAAGAAGCACAATTTTTTCCTTGGGATGATATATAAAAGCTTTTATACATTCTCAGATGCATGTGCTTGTGCCTGAACTCTATAATAATTCATTTAAGAGGTTAAAGGGGCTGGCTAGGTCTTTTGTTAATTGCTTTTATCATATAAATAAGCTATGGAAATACATTACAATTGTGTTATCATTGGTTGCATTTATTTACAGCTTTATTTTAATTAAGCTTGCTGTACTTATCAAGGCAATAAACTAACTGTGGCTGGTGTTTATGCATAATAATGTGCTATGAAAATAAGATTAAAAAAGGTGGTGATAGCAGAAACAATTTTTTCTCATTGGATTTTTTTTTTTAAAGAACATAAGCTTTTAAAAAATCAGATCACCGGCCATTCTATTTCAATCCAGCACCATCACTGGCCCCTATAATAATAACTATAACAATCACAATGGATAATAGAAGCAGTACTGTTTTAGGTTTATAACAGAGGGCTATAGTAATAATAACAATACACCATTGACTACTAGGGAATCAAAATAAGAATTGGAAGAGGGTGCTTCATCCTCCAAAAATGTAAAATGTTGCCATTGGCACAATTTATGAACACTGAAAGTGCTTAATCTAAAGAGAGTGTAACATTCCCCTTTAATAGCCAGCAAAAAGCAGCACACTTTCAGAGCAAAATTAGAAATTAAGAATAAAAATGCCTAATTCCTGGGATATTCAGATTTCATTTTGTTCTACTGTAGGCCCCAGCCAAAAATTCTTACCTGATTAAGTATAGCTCAATTTTATTTAAAAATAAAGTTTTGCATTGATATTTTGCAAAGATATTTTTCTCCTAAACTCCCCTCATCCCTCCTCAAGTATTATATCTGAAGTATCTGAAGCCAACTAACAATTTTGTGGATAGGGGACTGTAGACTTATTTTTTCTTCTTAGTGGCAAATAGAGGTTTAACTTGCAGTAATTAGGTGAGAACTAGCCAAGCATCTTACTATTATGATGCTTGTTAAAAAAACGCTTCTTTTCTGCATCTGCATTTGAGTGTGTTCCCCTCCTCTCTTAATCTTCTTATGGAAATGAAGGCAAACGGCAGGGAACCTGCAGAGTCTTGGAGAATGTCCTTGTTAACTGGAATTTCTCAGCATTGCTAATTAGCAGAGTTTGACGACGACCACCAGTATTGGGGGGGAAAGCTCTGTTTAACCACTCACAAACCATTCTGAGGAAGAGCAGACTAATTTTATTTTGTAATTAAAATCTGAAAAGGGCCCTATTTGACAGTTAGGGCTACGAGAGTTTTATCTCCCCGTGAAATAATTACTGCCTTGATAACTCAATTTTCTGAAAAATGTCAACTGTGGGCTCCAAAAGTTTTAATTTCATTACGTAAGGAAAAAAAAAGAGAGAGGGAAATAGAAGAAAATGTACAGAAAGGCTTTCTAATTCTGGAACTAGTTAAATGTGTTAGGAGCCAGATTTGGCCAAATGAAGGGGTTTTTTTTTTCCTCCCTTTTTTTTGTTACTTTTCCTCCGGATCCTAACCTTCCAACTGTGTCCACTGAAAGTGACCGTAGCAGTGATCATGCTGCAGTGGAAGAGATCGTACCAGTATGGTAAGTCAGAGACAAGTAAAACTAAAAAGAGGAGGATGGCAGCTCAAGAAAAATTCCTGTTTTTAAGAGCCAAAAATAAAGGAAAATTTCAATGTTTAGGACAATGCTGGTGCAATCTGGTAAGATGAGATTTTATTGACATTATCCTGTAGCACAAGAAAACTGAGAATTACAGAGTTAAGACACTGGTCTAAGCCAATTTAAAAAATTTTCCTTCCCCCTCACTAAATCGCAAAACACTTCAA